CATGGCTAGCAAGCTACTGCTTGCTAAGGCTGTTCGTTAGGCCGTCCTAACATTTTTGTTCGGTAACGTTCGACAGGCACCTGCCATCAAGTATGTAGTTGTGAGAGTCGCCCGTCGCGCTCGGCTTCTTCGTTTTGAGCCGCAATGTGACACACTTTTCAAAGTTAAACCGCATTAGCCATTTTTGGACCATTCACCTAGGCGGTCAAGTTCTTCTTGCAGAGTTTGTTTATCATAAGTGTTTCTCATGGGTTGCCATATCTTAATGTCATCTGCAAACAGGACAACAAATAAAACAAAGGAATGACTAAAAACGGTAAACGATCTCTCATTTCTAGGAATTCGCGCAAACAGCAGTGTTAAGAGGATGACATTGTGTTCCGACTGTCGTTTTTGTCTTGGATTGGATTGATTCATCATTGAGGGACCCTCTAATTCGTAGCCAGTAGAGCTTTATGTTGGCTTAGATGCCTGGTTGGTTGCGTGTAGCAAGGAAAGTAAACAGAAAATTCGACGCGAGCTAACCAGTTTTCTTCCCCCCGCACCAAGTATATATCCCAGTCAGACAGACTAAAGATGCGGTATCGTTTTCATTCAGTCAATCGGTGGTGTTCCCTTACCGACCCACTTTTTTCTTTATTAGCGTCAAATGTGGACAGAGATGACTTATTGTGGAAGACGCATAGCGGATGTCCGTGTTGTGTGTCGTAGCCTTTGTTGGATCAAGAGTTCCCACCGGACTCCAAAGTAAGTTGGGTGCCTGGCCGGGAACTACAGGTGAAAGACGTCTGATAGTCATACGGAGAGAAGCCGTAATCGGGACAGCTGTCGGGTGTGGACGGATCGAGCCGGTGTTGGTACTGGCGAAGGACCATTGCATAACCATTGCGCAGTTGAGACAAGGTACAGCGAGTGGCTCTCGGGAGTTGTTGTTCTAAGTCAGCAATAGAAGGTGGATAGCTGCGCAAAAGGACTGTGGAATGGTAGCTCAGTTTTGCTTCGACAGCGGCTCTCTGGTGAAGACGCTAGAAGCCTGTCATGATGGCAGCGTTATCAGCGGCTAGATACGCGAGGCACGAGGTGACAGCTTCGTGGAGAGCTCCAATAGACTGCCGATCGTTGCGGCTGGGGTAAGAACCGTGGGATAGTTTGCTGGCCACATCAGGTGCATACCTTGAAGCTTTTTAATGCTCGCTTGAAAATCCCATATTCGCTAGCAGTGGGACTGAAAGCAACCCACACTGTTAAC